TGGCCTCCAGCAAAAAGCGTGCAACCGCCAGCTGCCCCCCCTGAGCTGCAGTGTACAATGGGGTTTCGCCATCCTGCGTGGCCTTGTCCTTGTCCGCATTGGCCTGCAGCAAAAGGCGTGCAACCTCTATTTGGCCGTGCTTGGATGCCTCGAACAGCGGGGCCGGATCGCCCAAATCTGGGTCTTGCGGTCTTTGTAGCAAAGTCTCCACTTCTGCTGACATGCCACGTCCCGCTGCATCTCGAAGTGCAGTCACTTCATCGTTCGTCGATGGTGGGCAGAAGTTTAGAAGTACGACCTGAACTTCGCCAGGTCTCAGGTTGCCATCGTCATCTAGAACCATCTTGCCATCCAAGCATACCAGCCTTTGCCTGAACCTTGACACGCCGCAAATGCTGTGCAAGTGTTGCTTCAGTGCCCGGACGGGATGCATGCCGGCGGGCTGCGTCTCGAGAAAGCTCGCCAAGTCAAGGGCAACGAGTTCTTCACCCGACACGGTCTGAATCCGCAGCATGGTCGATTGACATGGGGAAGGGCCGGAGGTAAGGAATCAAGTCTCAAGTTCCCAGTTTAGGGCTTAAAAGGTTAAGGGTTTAGGGAAGTTTAGGGCTTATAGGGTTTAGGGTTTGGGGTAGTCATGGTTTAGTAGGTGGGGGCAGGTATGGAAGTTCAGTCATGAGAGCTGAACCACTGTATGCTCAGACCTTCAGGCGATTGCACAATTCATGATGCCAAAAGGATTTAGGAGGTCCTTATAACGGGATTAAGTTTGGGTTCGGGATGTGTAGTGCCGATGCAGAGTGCAGCTTTGAGTCTTCGGCCGATGGTGTCCAAGCACAGAGCCTAACTTGACATCTTAAAATAGTACCCCTTTTCGAATGGCATAGGGTTTGGGGGCTATTGTACCATCATCATAGTTACAACTATAGGTGCAGCAGAGATTGTTGAGGAGGCCACACCTCCACCAAATCCATGGCTCAACAGCCGACGCCTGTCTTGAAAAACAGCGCACACGTAGCGAAGCTTGTTCTTTGGAATCCACCTTACAGTCACAGCTGGAACTTCTACTACAAGTACTCGTATCATTACACGGCGACTCCGAATATAATCAAAAGAACGCATTATTTAGAAGTTAACGAATGGTTCTCGACACTGCTTCTGTAGTTTTGGTCTCAGTACGTCGTGAAGAGTACCACCCCTCCATCAGTCTATGAGCCACCTTGACCACTGATCGAAACAATATGGGTAGCTCTCTAAATTAGGGTCCCTTTTAAAGTCTTTTTTAATAAGAGTGCCGACTATATTGGGAACCTAATTTAGAGAAGAACTACCCATATGTTGAACAACCCCCTTTATACGATACTCCGGATATTCAGGCCCTTACCCTGGCTCCTCTGCAAGACATGATGCGAGGAGAAGCTGGGGGTCTGGCGGGAGCTCGCCAAGAGAGTGGCATCCAGTCCGGGTCCATGCTTTGAGGTCTAGGGTTTTTTCCCTCCTAGGGTTTGGGTTTAGGGTTTAGGGGTTTAGGGTTTCAGGTTTTAGGGTTTGATGCTGCTGCGTGCAGGGAAGGGTAACTCCTCGTGATCGGTCTGCTTGATGAAGACGGGGTACAGTAGATCCGGCAGTTCCGGGCTGGAGCTCGCAAGGTGAGTTGCGACATTCTGTGGGAGAAGAGGGTCGGGGGCTAGCCTTCTGGCCGGTCACTCAACCGCTGACATATGTTTCGGGCTCGCATCTGCGAGCTTTGTTTGAGCCAACGCTTGGCACATTGGCATCGCCAATTACCCACTCCTGCAAGCCAAGCAAGTGCAGTATGAAGCACGAGCAACTCTGAACCCCTCTTCCTGCTTCAATTCTGAACCACCCTAAACCCTAAACCCTAAACTCTAAACCCATCTTCCTGCTTCAAAGTGCATGTCTACCTTTGCCATCACGCAATGCGCAGCTGGGAGCTCTTCTGGCTTCATGGGTTCGATGAGCGTCTGCGGCTTTGAGGAGTGAGGTCTGGTAGTTGGGCTTTTTATGCTGAGGCACATACGGTTGATGATCTAGATCTTGCATTACTTTGAAGGACCCTGAACTATGGGAATTATGGTCTATTCCTTATTATGGGCAATGCAGGATTTATATCTTGAGAGGTATTTTGCAAGGCAATTCGCCAGCTATCCAACGAACACATCTATGCTCTCTATCGGGTTCTATCGCAAAACATTCTGAGCTGCACCCTGCAGCATGCCCTGCACGTCCATCGCACACAAACCTCAATGTCTTGCGACAGTTGAATGGCAACTCAAAAGGAGACGAACGCCGGCACTGATGTATACACAACGCCTGCCTTCCTCAGAAGAAACTCCAGGGAAGCGTCTTCAACACCCGTCCAAAGATCAGAAACGATTTCGCCAAATATCATATGTGACCTTTGTTGAGCACCTGAGGCCTGAAACGCTTTCAATTGGTGTACTCCGTTTTTGCTGCAAGCCGGACAAATGCACGACATAAGAAGAAGCTGGACAGGAAACGATGTTCTGCTCCACACCATCAGCCCTCGTGCTCTTGGGTGTTTACTGTGCAGAAGCAGAAAACGCCAAGCCACCATCTTTGGCGCAGAAGCCCGGCTTGCACTGGCAGGAGCCATACCTTGGTCTTCGGCTGCGAAGCGAGAGAAAAAAGAGCAGTAGCAGTACTTGGCAGCTCCAGTCGTTGTAGTCGTCCTTGCAACCGGACGTCGGTATCGTAGCACCAGTTATTAGTAGCAATGGTAGCAGCGGTAAGAACCTGAATCACGTGCACTCCCCATGATACTGATCCGGTCATCTCCGGAAGCCTCATATGCCGAGCAAGGGGCGTGCACGTAGCAGTAAAGCCCAACCTGAGCTAACGTGTCTTGGACCTTTTGAGAGCGACGTTTCCAAGGACGAGACGCATCCAGCCACGGGGCGGTTAGCTCACGAGGTCTCTCTGTAATACCCTAAACCCTAAACCCCTAAATCCTAAACCGTCTACCTTCAGTCTTCGAACCGAGTCACTGCTCCTGGTTCCCGCACTGGCCCCAGCAAAGACCCACATATCCGGAGCAGCCTCACAGGGGACTGACATCCCTGTGCCTACGTTCCCCTTCGTGGGTTCCAGATGATTCCAATATGCGATGTTCACGAATCACTTCATCTTTTAGAGGACGTATAAGCCCCAGTGTTATCCTGTCTTCCGTGTTGCTTGAGTGGAGGGCGCGCCATAAGCTCGCACGATCAACATGCAAGGTTCAAGAGTGCCGGATAAACGAACATGTTCGTTGTGTTTGCGCAGTGAACGCCGGAATGTAGCGGTCGGAATAACTGCAAATAATATCTCCATCTAGTCCCGTGCAAGTATTGTACTTGTAGTACTGATATACTGTACTTCGGGACAGTGTCGTCCGGCTTACTTTCAATGGGTTTTGGGTATATGAACCCTGAGGAATAACATGGGCAATAATTCAGGCTTCTATTCCCTAAACCCCAACCTCTTAAATCCTAAACCCTGAAACCCGAAACCGCAAACCCTAAAACCCAAAACCCTATAACCCTACACCCCTAAAGCCCTAAGCCCTAAACCCTAAAGCCCTAAGCCCTAAAACCCTAAGCCCTAAACCCCAACTCTTCGGAAGATCTGGCCTCCAGAGCCGAAGATGGAGCCGAAGACTCCGCCTGGATAGGGTTTAGGCTTTTAGGGGTTCTAGGGGTCTTAGGGTTTAGGGATTTTGGGATTCTGGGATTTTAGGGGTTTCGGGTTTTAGGGGTTCTAGGGTTTGGGCTTTAAAAGACTAGCCTCTCTCCCCATCCTAGACAGGAGTCGGCTGGATACAATGCCAAGCGAACCTCAGCTTACATGCGCAAACCGCATCTCCAGAGGCGCGGACCGCTTCGGTGGCAGTTGTACAATTTTAAGCAGTGCGCTGAGTACAACTGCGGTCGCCCTGTCGTAAGGGCCGAGCTCACTGTGTCCCAGACACCCTCCAGTGCCTGGGTGTTCGGTCAACTCATCTCAGTGCCCTGAAAGGGCAGCATCATGTGATCGAGACGGCCGTGGTGCAAGAGCAACCCCTAACACAGTGCAGCAACCAACCACATGCTGGGACCAGCGGCGCCGGCAGCGTCGGCGAGGCCGGGGACTTTCGCGGCTACTGCAGTCACCTTGTGAAAGATGAAGGAACGTCGAAGTTAAGGATGCCGGAGCTCAGTCTCACATGTGAAACAAAAACCACGAGGGTGGTGTGGTCGGCAAGAACGTTTGTTTTGCTGTTGGTGCTTTATGCTGTTACTGTGGGAGGGGTCTGTTGGTGCGGCGGGGGCCCGGCACCAAGAGGAAAACACAACACCCTCCCGCAGCAACTGCAAACAACAACACACCGGCGCAGCATCGGCAAAAACAAATCCGCACCAACAGCAAAACACACACGCGGTAGTTGCCTGTGTGCATGTCTGTGTGTGTGTGTGTCTGTTTCTGTCTCTGTCCCTGTCTATCTGTCTGTCTGTCTGTGTCTGTCTGTGTCTGTCTGTGTCTATCTGTGTCTGTCCGTATCTGTCTCTGTCTGTCTGTCTGTTTTTCTGTCTGTCTGTCTGTCTGCCTGTGTCAGTGCGCATGTGCGTGCATTCGTGCGTGCGTGCGCGCGCGCGGGTGTGTGTGTGTGAGAGAATGTGTGTGTGTGTGTGTTTGTGATTCAGTGTTTTGCTGTTTGGACCGGACGGGCCAGGCATCCATATGTATATGCCTACATACGTAAATACATGTCCATACACACATATCTCTACACATATATATATATATGTGGTACCAACCCCCAAACCCACCCCCTCATGTTCAGCATAAGGAGCTTCATCTTCGACGGAAAAAAGCTGCAGCTCAGGGTCTGGAGTTCGTGGGCTCGCGACGCAGAAGACTCTGATGCTCGAAAAATCTGATGTTCCACTGCTGGCAGTATGTATGCTTTCGCAACACGAAATGCTCTGATGCTGTAATCCGCTGCTCCACCGAATCCAGAAGGTATGCTTTGAGTCTTAACACTATATTTCCAGACTTCCACAGTGGCAAGAGTCAAAAATTCCAGAATTCCAGACTTGTGGGGACTCTCTCTTCCAGAATTCCAGATTTCTCAGATCTGGAATTGTTCAGATTGGAAATTCTGGAATTCTGGAAGAGATAGCCCCCGGCAAATGTGGAATGCTGCTGGGCAGTCCCATAAACAGTGTATTCATACTTGTGAATGTACATGTATGTGTCTGTGTATGTATAAAGATACGTACTGCATAGATATATAAACATTTACACATGCATAAATACATACACATCTCGCATAACATATACATACATACATACGTACGTACATACATACATCCATGTATGTATGTATGTATGTATGTATGCATGTATGTATGTATGTATGTACGTATGTAAACGCGTGTAGAGGTGTGTGTATGCACGTGTCCTTATTTGGCTATGCATTCATGGATCGTTTCATGTCGGTCCAGGCCTGGTCGACGACGCCTGTAGCACCGTTCCCCACGGCATCTCGGATTTCACTGACCGACCACTGGCACTTGCCTGGCGAACAGCTTTAGTTACCAGCCACCCTCGTGAGAGCAGTGTGAGACTTGCGAGAGTAGCACTGACGGGCAGTGGAGCAATGAGAAGGACGCTACCTGGCAGCAAAAGTGCTAGGGCAGGCCTTTCGGGGGATCTTTTTTTTTTTTTTCTGATGCGAGGCTCGTGATGCACCGCTGGCTGAGGCTGCTAATGCTGATTGAGAGCTACCCAACTGCAGCACGTGGTCCGTGATTCCTCTTCTTCCTGTCCAGGGACCTATTACGGTTACAAACTTCAAAAATCCAGGCTGGGCCTTGCAATCACCTGACCCAACACTGGAGCCTCTATCCCAGGGATTCGCAAACAGTTCGACATTGCTCGCCAGGCAGGGCGATGCAAGGTGTTACGGAATATGTGAATGTATGCGCCGTTCGAAATTCAGCAAGCTGCAGGTTTCTGTGGAACATCGTGCGTACGCCCACCCAAGTGTGATCTCCCGAGGGAGGGCAGTAGGACTATTTCGTGTGGCCGTAGGAACGCTTACCAGCGCTGTGGGCTTCACACAACTTGGCCTCCTCTACGAGGCAAGCGCAGCTTGCTTCGCGAGTGTCCACCCGATTCTGCAAAACAACTGTAGTGGTGCCACTTCCGCCATTCGGAAACACAGTTGCTGAGACAGTGCTCTGCTACCTGGACAGGTTCCAATTTGATATGCCCCGTCTGGTCATAGTCATGACCAGGTCCGTGAGATTGCACCACATGCTGGGGTGATTGAATTACACTCGCGCCGTGCATTCGGGAAACATGGGGGACGTATGATGCATCAGCAGCGACTTTGACGGAGTTGCGAATGGATTCAAAGGCACCGCGAGATATAGCAATGCATACCGTTTGCTTCGCGGAGACCGGCAAAGGCGTACCGGTTTCGTTGGCTGTGATCTAGCCAGATGTATTCCACTGATGACATGCTTCATCAACTGCACAACTACCACAAAGAAGTCCACTTCCCAGTGCATTGTGTCTGCACCATAAGATCTACCACCACATCCCCGCCACAAGGCATGGGTAATGCTGAATCCGAGAACCCCTTCTTGAGATGAGGCCTCAAGCCCAGTTGTGCCGCAAGTATGGAAACCCAGGGGTGCCCACAGCATGTGCTCCGGTGATGGCAGTATAACATGACTGTTCAGGTTTTCTTCTCGCTTCCTCTCTGGGTGTTCTTTGCCAAGACAACAAACCTGGCCTTCGGAATAGCACGTGAACTGCGGGCAAACCTTGGCTGGTGTCTATTCTACGATTGACGTCTTGAATCGTTTATACCGGAAGCAGTACTAGCCATCAAACTGCCAGTCGCCAAAACCAAGGCGAACAAGACTCACAGCAATCATCACACTATTCGGCTAAGAACAAAAGCAGCAGTTGCATTGCATGCATCTGCTCTTCTTGCGTCCTTGGAGCACACTGTCCAGCCGTGAGCGAGCCCATCGTCTGGTCGCACTCCGCGCTAAGAGCATCGTTGCAGATGCCCGTAAGGCAGAAGGAGCCCGTGGCCTTCCTGGGTGTTAATGTAGGGGCCTTAGTAATTAGAATAGGGCTTTGGGGGTCCTGTATAGTATAATTATAATAAGGAACCCCCCAAAATAATATAGGTAACTATTGAGGCCGCTATGTTATATCATACTATGTTGTAGTGCATGATAACATGGTAGGTTATATTCTACTATATTATTCTGAGATACTATGATATTTTGCGCTATGTTATGTTGTATTAGGTTATATTATGTTATATGATGATAATGTGTGCTGCATTACAGGTTATGCTACATCGAGTTATATTGTGTGATGTGGTATTGTATTAGGCTATGTTATATTTTATAAGATATTGAGTTGTATTTCGCTTATTTTGTATACTATAATATCTTGTAATATACGCATGGGCGCATGGGTTTTCAGACTTCTTGCAGGCGCCGATGAAAAGTGAATCTATTCAGTCCAACTTTGGGGGCATGTTCAGACTCTGGGGCGTTACTCGGAACATGGCTAGCGCCTTGGGGCAACCCGTGGAATGTTGTACAGGGGTTACATGGTGCATGGCTGGCAGACAGAAGCTCGCGATTCTGCCAGGCTGTCGAACATGAAGCACTGCCTCCTGAAACTTAATGAAGCGACTGTGGTGCCATGAAGAAGAACCTTTACATTCATAGTTGCAGATCAGTTGCGAACATCCGTCCTGACAAGGATCCATGTAAGAGATTTCATGATCGACCATCTTCACAGCGAAGGTGAGCGCAGAAAAAACACACACTGTCCTTGCTGGAGTTCGTTGCCAGCAGGTGAGCTGCTGGCTTTGCAGCTGCACCGGTCACCCCAGTGCTGTGCCGGTCCTGAGGCGACCACAACACTGGATCGACCACTGCCTCTCTGCCTGGTCCAAAGCTCGAATGCAGCGATTCTAAGCCTCTCAATGCTTCTTGACTCCTTTTAATCCCTAAACCCTAAACAACCCTAAACCCCTGAACCCTAAACCCTAAAACCCTGAACCCTAACACTCCAGGAATTGGCCTCGGCACATTCGCAAACCTCCTGTGGAGCTCGGAAAGCCTTTGGATGCCCTTACGCCTCCAAGCTTGCAGGTCTCGAACCCGCTCCACTAGTATCCAAGAGACTCCAAAACCCCCTTAACGAAGGAATATACCCTAAGATCTTATTAGGGTTCCTATTATAATTTCAGGTATATTCCTTAATTAAGGTGTTTTGGAGTCTCTGGGATCCAAGCTTAAACAGGTCACATTGGTATTGCTTAGGTCTTCAGGCACCTATCACCCGCTGCCAGACCCATCCTCCCCCTGCAAAGTTCGCGGTGCTGCTGCCGCGACGCAGGTTTGCTTAAACCATAGGCAAATGCCGAGCTAGCTTCAGGGAGTGCACCTTCTCTGGAATGGTGCTAGTGACACCATCTTTCCAGGTGTTGCCATGGTCTGCGGCTGAAGTTGCACTGTTCGCCATGCCTGTGTCTGCATAAATGATCGAGTCGTGGTTGCAGGAGGCGCTAAGCTCCCGTTTTGTCCCTTTCATGAGGCCTGGAACACGAAACGCAACTCCCCAATCTGCTAAACCCTAAACCCTAAACCCTGAATGTACTGAAGAAAGCTCGAAGAGTCCTTGGTGTCAGCGGCTGCAAGCCTGCGGGGATCCCCAAAGGATCTTTGCCAGAACTCGGAGCTTAAATTCTACTCGAAACCCTGTTTCCATCGGATCTGAAACTCTCAGCAAATGCTCATGAAACTCTGCAGGCATGTACTATTCTATAGTATACTATACCTTTATAACATACCATGATAATACACTATAATATACTAAGACGCAAGTCCTGTGCCGGAAGCTTACAAGGGCCACCAAAAGAAGGTGCGGAGCAACGAGCCCGTGTTCGTGGGCCTAA